GTTGTCAACCTGACTGTATGTGAAACTGACTTTAAAAACAAACAAAAAAGACTGGGCAGTGGTGGTGCACTCCTTTAATCCGGCTCTCGGGACGGGTCTACAGAGAGTTCCAGGACAGCCAGGGCTACACAGAGAAACCCTGTCTCAAACCCAAACCAAACCAAACAAAAACAAAACTGGAGCACACCTGTCGGTATAATGTTCTTTTGGAATGTATACACTTTACCCTTGTTCATTCAAATGCTGATTTCTCTTCCCCACTATCTGGTTTCAATCTGGACATTGCGTTGTGATGCTTAAAGCATCACCTGCCTCAAGTCCGTGTAAAGATGCCACCATTTGTTCTCTGTATTGTCAATAAAACAACCAGCCAATGCTGAGCAATAGAGAGAACAGGGTGGACATCCTGGTCCAGAGTGGAGGAGAAGGAAGTGAGTAGGGGGAGTCAGGGAGGAGAGATTGGCAGGAGAGGACTTGAAACCAGGAGGAGAGATGAACCAGACCTAAGATATGACTAAAAACAAGTATAATGTGTGAAATCTGAATGGGAAGAAGCTATGCAGGCTTGGAGGTTTAGGATGGACTAACTGTTGCCCAGCACTGTGCTCTAGGTTAATTAAATAAATCCTAGTCTCTGTGTGGTGATTTGGGTATACAGCTGGTTTAGGAATAACCGCTGCTTAGCTAAAAGATAAATCAATAATAAATGTTAATTATAGACAACACACACCTGTGAGGGATTTTAAATTATCTGTCTGTGTGTGGTTATGTGCATGTGAGTGTAGGTGCCCACAGAGGCCAGAGGGTCCTCTGAGAGTCCCTAGAGCTCATGGTGAATAGCCTGATGTGGGTGCTGGGAGTCATACCTGATCCGCTAGAAAAGCAATATGTGCTCTGAGCCGCTGCACCAGGAAAACGAGTCACTCCAGGCCAGCTTCTCCCTCACACGCCTCTCAAGACCCTTGAAAGCTTGGGCTGGGGCTGGCTCAGTGGGTACAGCGCCTGCTGCACAAGTGTGGAGACAGGAGTTCAGACCCCTAGAACCCAAGAGAACAACAGTCAGGCGTGGGGGATGCCAGTAACCACAGTGCATGGGAGGCAGAGACGGCAGCCTGACGAGTGAACTCAGGATCCAACTGAGAGAGGCTGCCTCAGTGAATAAAGTGGAGGAAGACGCCTGATATCAACTTCAGGCCTACACGTCAATACATACACGTGCCCACACACACACGTATGTACACTACACACACTTACACAGGTACCCACATATACACACCACAACACACATACACACGTACCCACATATACACATATGCACACCACACACAGACTTGTACGCCAGAGATGACGTCAAGGATCGTCCTTTCCCAGCTAACTCCTCCACAGAGCTTCTTCCCAACCTCACTTTGGCGTGAGGATCGGGAGACCCTCGTGGGTGCCCAGCTGCGGAAATGAGGCAAGGCGGGTGCTGGATACAGGCTCCCGGGGACCACCTAGCTCTTCCTGCCTCGAGGAAAGCCTGAGGCCCTGCCAGCCTCCACCCAACAAAGGCCTTTTGCTGACATCTTGTGAAAAGGACGGAAACTGCAGCTCCTGAGCCAGCGCAGCTTGCCCATTGTTCCTAGGTTCTGGCCTGAAAGACAGCCAGGCGCTGGACCCCACCCAAAGATGGGTTGGATGTGTCTGTTCAGGAAGGGAGGAGGCAGCCAAGGCAGGGAGAATGCCCCTCCCAAAGCCAGGCCTCTGAGCGTAAGGTGTGAGAGCGATTAAAAGTGCGTCTGTCCCGCGAGAGGCAGGGCGCCTCTGGGGAACCACCAGCCCTTCCAGCCGATGTCACACATCCCAAGCTGTCTCCACAAAGAGGCGGTGGAGGCCGGGCAGGGCCAGGCAATGGAAGCGCTCAGTCCAAGCACTCGCAGAAGCAGGCAGATCTCTGTGAGTTCCAGGCCAGCCTGGTCTACAAATCTAGTCTAGCACAGCCAGAGTCACACAGAGAAACTCTGCCTCAAACCCCCTCCCCCCCCCCCCAAAAAAAAAAAAAAAGAAAGAAAGAAAGAAACAAAGAGGCCGACAGGTGTGGGGTAATCCCAGCACTCTAGCACTTAGGAGACTGAGGCAGGAGGATTTCAAACTCAAGGCTAGCCTGGGCTACATACTGTGATTCTGCAAAAGCAAAGCAAAGCAGAACAAAACAACAACATAAACCCATAAAACAGCTTCCAGGGTTGGAGACATAGCTCCCAGGTCAAGAGCGGCTGCTCTTCCAGAGGACCTGGGCTCCACTCCCGGCACGCACATGGCGGCTCAAGCACTGCCATGTTCCAGGAGATAGGACACCCTCTTCTGACCGCCAGAGACACGAGGCACACACTAGGTGCGCAGAAATGGGCAGGTGAAGCACCCAGGCGTGCACGCACATGAGCTCGTAACTGAAGGCTGGTTTACACCCTGGAGAGGCAGGGCTGCAGCCTTGATGCTCTAGTGAGCGGCTGAGTGGCCACTGCACAGCAGCTGTGCAGTCCTGTCAGCAGCAACAGGGATGGGGGCTCCAGCCCGTCACTTGTGGCAGCCCAAGGGATGTCTGTAAACCTTTTTTCTGTTTGTTTTTAAATAAAGATTTACTTTTAAGTATATGGGTGTTCTGTCTGCTTGCTGTCTGTGCACCTTGGCATGCAGTGCCTGCATGGACCAGGAGAGGGCGCCAGATTCCCCAGAACTAGAATTGCTGACGGTTGCCAGCCACCTTGTGGATGCTGGGAATGGAACCTGCTCCCTCTGGGAGAGGTGCCAGTGCTCAGCAAGCACTGAGCCATCTCTCCAGCCCCAAATTTCCTTAAAGCTTTTAGGGACCTTGATTCAGGTAAAACAGGATCCTTGGCTTCAATGCAGGAAAATATTTCAGGACGAGCCAGTGAGAAGCAGAGTTGGAGTTAATCAAAACTGGAAAGCGGGTTGGGGGCCGTAGCTCACTCACTGAGCATGGCTGAAGCCCTGGGTTCCATCATCAGCACTTCTGGAACTGAGCATAGGAACGAATGTCTCTAAATCCTAGCGCCTGGACAGTGGAGGGAAGAGTTCAAGATAACCCTTGAGGTCAAGCATGGACACTTGACACATTATTTCAAAAATAAAACAAAACAAAAACCAGACAGGTGTGGTGGCTCACACCCTTAGTCTCAGCCTTTGGGAGGAAGAGGCAGAGCAGATCTCTGAGTTCAGAAGCCACTGTCCGGAAGGGTACATAGTGACACATTGTCACACAACAATAAAAACAAAGAGGAAGTCATTAAACAAACCACACCGAGACAGTGGGTGTGAGGTTCTTAGTTTTTAAAGGACTTACATTTGTGTTTATGTGTGTCTGGCTTGCCAGTGTATGTTCACCATGCGGATGCCTGATGCCTGCAGAGGTCAGAAGAGGGCATCAGCTCCTTGAGAACTGGCGTTAAAGACAGTTGTGGGCCGTCGTGTGGGTGCTGAGACTTGAACCTGGGTCCTCTGAACCTGAGCCAAGACTATGGGGTTCTTAGAGATCCGTGGTTAAGCGTCCTCATGGGGACTATATGCAGAATGTTGGCAGCTTTTGGAATTTTGTTAATTAACGGGTTTTTAGGGGACACCCCTTCCATCTCTACTCTTTCCTACAGCTGAAGTCATGGGGTGGCTCTCGGGTGTCTTTACTGGAAAATAATCTTTTTACAGAGATTTTTTCATTACGTGTATGTATGTGTGTGGCTGTGTGCACATGTGGGTACAGGTACCAATGGAGACGAGAAGAGGGCGCCAGAGTAACAATCTGAGCTGCCAGACATGGGTGCTGGGGACTGAACTCTGGTCCTCTGAAGGAGCAGCGAGCTGGGGAAAGGAAGGCCTGAAAAGCAATTCATAACTGTGCTAGAATTCTCAGCTAGCGAGTCTTCAACCAGACTTGATCTTTCTAGGCAGCCTCAGTGCCACTTCCCATGTGTGCCCCTGCCTCGCTGGGGCTCACAGAGTGACACGGGATGCCGACGGGCCTGTTCACCCAGCCTGGTTCACACGTCATGACCCTGGCTACCTGGAGCACATACAGAAAAAGGACTTTATGGGGCTGGAGAGATAGCTAAGAGGTTAAGAGCACTGGCTGCTCTTCCAAAGGTCCCGAGTTCAATTCCCAGCAACCACACGGTGGCTCACAACCATCCATACCAAAATCTGATGCCTCTTCTAGCCTGCAGGCACACATGCAGATAGAACACTCATACATAAAACAAATGAATAAAATCTTTAAAATAAAAAGGAGGATTTTACAACCTATTCAAGGTGGCTGGTAGGTGGCTGGGCAGGGACCAAGACAGCAAGACATGGCTTCACTGCTAGCCTTCCCTATGATTTCAGTTATAGAGAGGGGAGCAGAGATAAAGGGATGTCCCCTCCACTCAGTGTTCCCCCAAAGCCTCCACAGCACCCCACTAGATGAAGACAATCTTACCAGACTAGAACTGCTCAGAAGGCAAAATGCTTGCCACAGAAGTGTGAGGACCAGAGTTCAAATCCACAATTACACACACACACACACACACATGCACGCACGCATGCACGCACGCACGCCAGAGGGGCACAGCAGCTTTCCAATAATCCCAGCATGCAGGAGGCAGGAGCAGGAATTCCTGGCGGTAGTTGCCAGCTGGGCCTGATGGACTGCAAGCTCTGCCTTGCTCTGTAAGATGGAGAGCAACCAAAAACCTGAAGGTCACCCTTAGGCTCCACATCTATGCGCACACTCGCACTACACACACAAAACACACTCTGAAAAGAATTAGCTCTGTAAACACCAGGCATGTGCGTGGCACACATACACCAGACAAAACACCTACATAAAAAGTTAGGCTGGGGCTGGTAGCATACACCTCTGAGCACAGGCAGAGGCAGGGGAATCTCAGTTCAACATAGTGTGCTCCAGGACGGCCTGGGCTATTGAGAGATCCTGTCTAAAATTAAATAAAAATGAACAGGTGAAATAAACTAGTCTCCTTTATTAACCATCACATACAAAATCTTCCAACAAGTAAACAATGTCTTGCATTTGATATTGCCGTCAAAGTCTGGTGGTTTGGTTTTCTTGCACTAGTAGGGCAAGAACAGGCATGATAGGCAGGGGCTCCCCTAAGCCATGCCCCAGGCCTGAGGGGCTCTGGGCAAGTGCTTTCCTGTGTAATGTGGCCTCAGCTCCTCACTGGTGGACCCACGAGTGTTCACCGCTAAGCCAGGCCCTAACCTTTCCCAGCGTCCTTCTGATTCTTACGTTTAGGAGTGTGTGCTTGTGTCCCCGAAGGCCCGGGACACGCTGGGGCTGAAATTCTCGTGCAGTCGTGAGCCATCCCACATGGGTGGTGGGAACCAAACCCTCATCCTCCACAAGAGCAGCACAAGCTCCTCATTACTGGGCCACTGCCCCTGCCCACCTAATGAGCTTTCAATTCCCAATGTGGGGCCATCTCGGCTGAAACATTCCCTTAAGCGGTTAGGACATAAACCCCTATACCCAAGTCACTAACATTTAAACATTGCTCAATTACTGAACCAGCTGTTCTTAAACTTCAGTGGCGTTAAAGCTTTGCTATGCTGACCATGTCTCAAGAGTCCATCACCCTGGGAAGAGGAGGGTAAAACAAACAAAAAAAAACCTCAGTGTCCTCACACAGCACCACTGCCTACACTGAATTCTAAAAGCAAACCCCAAGTCCCCCCACCCCTGCCAGATCTAGTCAGAAACCAGGGCAGGAGTCAGTGCGCTGAGTCTAGCGAGAGCTGTTCTGATGTGGACCTGGAGAGACACTGGCTTAGGAGAGTCAAATCCTTAGCTGCAGAGGCAGCGGGTCCCACCCCGGCCTCCCATGACAGCTACGGGCCACGAGACCTGCAGTGTGTGGCTGACATTAACTCAGAGTTAACTGTCCCAAAGAGTGCCAGAACTCAGGGTGAAGGTCAAAATCGGCTTGGGTGGCTGGACCCTTGTCATCAGATACCCACACTCTGAAGGAGGCCACAGCAGCCGGCGGTACAAGCCATCAGGCCAGGCAGGTGGCACAGGAGCCGCCATGGCTGCCGAGGCCCACCCCACTGCTCTGTCTGGATTCTTGCTCCGCAGAGAAGAGGCCAAGGAGCCCTCTGCCGTGATGCTTAGACACACGACGCTTCTACTGCAACGCCAAGTGGTTCTACAATGGCTCCCACTTCTTGGGAGTCAAAATGTACCCACACTTGGGAGGCAGAGGTAGGTGGGTCTCTGTGAGGTCAAGGCCAGTCTACAGAGTGAGTTCCACAGTGAGACCCTATCTCAAAAACAACAGCAAAAAGCCTGAGGCCAGGCATGAGCCTCCACGGCATGGTTAAGCTGGCTGCTTGGGTCAACTGTGGAGTTAGCTCCGCAGGCCACATGAACACCCTCCCCCCTCCCTCCACAGCAGCCCCAGGCCGAGGTGAGGAAAGGGCGTCAAGAAAGGTCAGGTTCTCGGGGACCATGAGTGACTGTGCCCCAAAGGCACCTCATTGAAAGCCATGTAGGGGAGGATGCAGAGCCGTTGGAAGCTCTTTTCCTGCACAGAAGAGTTTTCCAGAACACAGGTCCTGGAGTGGTTTAGCACAGGCTACCACTCATGAGGTTTCCACAGGTCCGCGGCTCCTGAATTGCAGCAGCTTTTGCTGTGGTAACATAATCCGCTTCAAAGTTGCTGAACAGTCTTTTATTTTACCAACAGTCTGTACGCCGCATGTGTGTGCATGTGGCTGCTGTGAGCGTGAAGCCAGAGGTGAATTTCTGATGTCCCGCCTCAGGAACTGTCCAACTTGGTTTTGGAGGCTGTGTCTCTCTGGCCTGGAACTCTCTCTTTAGTCTAGGCCGCTGGTTTGTTGGTCAGAGAGCCAACCTGGGATCCTCCCGTCTCCACCTTCTGGGCACTGACACTGTACCAACCACATGCGGCTCTTTTAGAGCGCGGGTTCTGGGGAGGAGTGCGGGTCCTCAGGCTTGTGATGCAGGCGCTTACCACCGAGCCATCTCCCGGCCCTAACTTGAGCAGTCAGAGGGAGACGCTCCTATAAAGACCCGGGAGAAGCAGGAAGGCTTGGAGGCCACGTCACAAAAGTAGAATCCAACAGAAAGGAGCTGGTGTGTGGCACAGACAACAGCCTGGCCATCATTTCACTGTCCTCCTGAAAAAGAGAAAGAATCGATGGTGACCACACGACAGAACTGCCTAAACGGCATGTCATGAAGTCTGTCATGGACAAGGCTCTGGGGGCCATTTGGGACAGTCCAGAAGCAGCTATCGTGGCCAGGCCTGTCCCTTCCTATGGAAGCACAGCCCCGCTCTCACACACCCTTTGGACTAGTACCTGAGCTGCTGGGCCAGCCAACCGATGCCCCGTGGCTTCTGGTCAGGAGCTCTGGATGCCGACGCCCTAGAGAGAAAGTCAAAAGTGTGTTTACTCGGCCTTCATACCCTCATCAAAGCCCGCCCACGTCCAGCCTGCATCACAGACAGCTTGACAAAATCAAGCGTAGCTACAAAGACACCGAGCTGCCCCCTGACCTCCATGGGCTGCTGGGGCATGTGTGTCCTCTTGCCGCTCACAAAAGAGTCGAACATAAAAGGTAACTTGTGGGGCGGGCAGGTGGATCGTTTGAATCCCCAGCGCCCAAAAAGAGCCAGGCGCTGGTGTGTCTGCAATGCCAGGGCTCCTACACGGAGGCACAGGAAGGAGGCAAGAGCCCTCAGGTCAGCTAGCCTGGCACACGCCGCAGCACACGAGAGGCCTTGTGTCAGACAGGGTGGAAATCAAGGACCAACATCCATGTGCACTCACACACACAAGTTATGTTTCCTTTGCCGCAGGAGTGAGTACAGACGGGTTTCTACTACTTAAAAGAGGAGCACCTAAGAGCTGACCTGTGCACACTCCCTGAAAGACATGCCAACGTCCCAACCCAGCCCCCAGCCCAAGGGAGGGACATCATTTAGAGACACGCCTTCACCGAGGTGACCTAACTGAGCATCAGTCATCCAGGCCATCGAACCAACCATGCCTTAACAGAGAGCCGGAGACAGGATGCTGGCATGCGCCCGGAAACACCAGGACAAAGGCAGAGGTGCTCCCAGAGCAATGCTCCTACAAGCCAGGCACACCGGAGAGCGCTGGGCAAGAGGACATTGGGAGAGGCGGGGCCTCTCAGAGCCAGCTGTCAAGTCTCTGTTCTCGGCCTGTGAAAGAAGAAACTCGGAGACTGAAGGCCCCAGTGTGTGGCAGCTGCAGGACTAGCTTCACAGGACTCCGGCTCTGACCATGCCCTTCTGCATGGCACGCTGCACGCCAGACTGGGGGCACCAGGAGCCCATGCTCACCTGCCTCTGCTGGCTGAGCCACTTCCGGCTTGGCAGCTGTGGTCCAGAGGATGCCTGTGCTGAATGCAGAAGTTGCCATGGCACTGAGCACACGGCAGCTGCAGCATCTCCTCCTTCCTGCATCCTTCTTTGGAGCAGCGGTACGTGAAAACCTGCAAGAACACAGTGACTTCTGTGAAGCATGTCACCAGCCCAGTCGGGCCCTGGCAGCGGAGCCCAGTGGCACGGGCCTGTAGTTCTAACTACGACCCGATGACCCCACCCACACCCAACAGGAAGGTGGTCACAGCATAACGAATGTTAGCAGCATCCATTCACTCGCTTCCCAGCACCGTCCAATGACAAAACCCCTGCAGCTGGGGAAGGCTCAGTGAGGAAGAGCCCCGTGAAGGCATGGAGATCAAAGGTCACATGCCTGTAACCCCGCCTTGAGGGGCAGAGACAGGAGGGTCACTGGAGCTCACAGGCTGCCAGCCCAGCTCCAGGTCCCTGCACTCTGCAGGGACTAGGGCAGAGAATGACAGAGCCACCAGCAGACGCTCTGGCCTCTGCCCGTGCATGCATGGGCCTGTATACACAGCACACAATAAAACTTTCACTTAACCCTTTTTCTTTTCTCTTAAGACAGGGTTTCACTCTGTAATCTTGGCTTGCCTTGAATTCACATGGTCCCCCGCCTCTGCCTGGCAATTGTTAGGTGTGCATTGCATGTGGCTTTTAAAAGTACTTTTTGTTTTTGTTTTTTAGGTAAAATAAAAAGCTAACAAGCCCTGGGCCCTCAGTTGAGGACACAAAGGTCCAGTTTAGGCAGCTTGTGCTGGGAGAGGGGCAAGCACTGACTATGGAGACAGCAAAGCTGGGGTGTCCGGAGGAGGCAACAGGCAGAAAGACAACAGCGCAGGGAGGGAGGCAAAGCAAGAGTGTCACAGCAGCCCCACGGGGGCAACTGGAGGGGTTCTGGAGACAGCGGTGGTTACACTCCCGAGTTCTAGAAGGCTAGTACAGCTATGGTGCCACAACAACAGTAGCAGTGCTCGGGGTGTGGGGGTGTGGTGGTGAGCCAGCGGTCGGCCTCTGGCAGACCAACTACTCTTGAGGCACAAGAGCCCTGCCTGCAGCAGGAGCCTGGGGAAAGCAGCCTACACCACGAGTAAAGGAGGGAACAGCTGTCTGGATGGAGCAGGAAGCGGCTGTCGGGGAACTCTGGGCTGAGCAAGAGTGAGCAGTACCTTTTCCACGTAGGAGGCTGGAGTGCCGGGTGCAGCTGCATCCTGTCACGGGGCACGCAGTGGGCGCCAGGCCTCAGAACGGGACAAGCTCTAACTGTGGCTGAGCGTGGTACACGGAGGAATAGACTGCACGCCCTCCCGCCTGAAGCCGAGAAGCTCCGACGGGCTTTGTGCATGCTTACGTCAGACTATTTCATGCACCAAGACGGTCCCCAACTACATGAGCTGGAGCTGTTAAGCACAAGGACCTGCACCTACTGCCCAGCACCCACGACAAAAGCTGAGCAGGGTGGTGCATGCCTTCATATAAGCCAGGACCGGGGCACGAGGAGGGGACGGAGGATCGCTGGGGAATGCTGGCAGCTGAAGGCTCTAAAAGAATTACGGTGCAAGTGATGGGACCTGTGGGGGCAGGGTGCAGCACAAGAACGGGTGTGTGCGTGCGTGTGTGCGTGTGTGAAGGTCAGGAGCCTAGGGCAGTTATTTTTCCACCTTTACATGGTTTCAGAGGATTTTAATTCAGGTTGTCAGGCTTGCAGGACCAGGCAGAAAGCGTTATCCCCTGAGCTGCATGCTCTGCCCCTGTGCTCGTGCATGTGTGTATGCTCGAGTCTGTGTGTAAAAAGCTCTTCAAGTGCCAGGCATGGAGGCACACACCTTTAATCCCAGCACTCAGGGCGGCAGCGGCAGGCGGATCTCTGTGAGTTCAAGGCCAGCCTGGTCTACAAAGTAAGTCCAGGACAGCCACACTACACAGAGAAACTGTCTCAAAAACCCAAAAATGCTCTCAAGAAGCTGCACAGCTGAAGTGTGTGCTTACTCTGGAAAGTGGTCGGCCAGGGTGAGGCTGAGCATTTGAGAAAACAGTGAGCAGGAGGAAAACACATAAGGAGCCTCCCAGGAGAGGAGCAGCTACGCCCCTGGGAATGTGCGGCCTGCAGAAGGCTGCTAAGGAAGCAGCTGAGGTTCTTCCCTCACAAAGCACCAATACAATCAGCAAGGAGGTTTCACGAGAAGGAATAAGCCCAGGAAAGCAAACAATAAAGAGCTAGACATCATGGTGCAGGCCTGCAGTCCCAGCTTTCCAAAGCTGAGGCAGGAGGATGGAGAGTAGGCTAGACTACGCCTCAAAAACATGGAGAGGGAGGTGAAGGGCAAGGGGGAAAGAGGAGAGGGAGGAAAGCATGTAGCCAGATTTTAGAAGCTAAACTCCCTTGACCCAGAGCCGGCAGGTGAGAAAAGACCAGTTACTAGCTAAAGAAAGCCTCAGAGCATGCCCACTGAGCAAACACACCACAGCGGGTATTGAGGGATGGTCTGAGGCTTGTGTTTTGATGCTAAGTACTGGCCCTCAGATCTGGTTACTGCCCTATCCTTGTGTAAACCTGCCTAAGACATTATTCTTGATTGGTTGATTAAAGGCCTAAAACCTGGGCAGCAGAATGGGGTAGGCGTGGCTAAGGTTCCTGGGTTTGGAAACAGGAGAATCATGGGAAACAGAACAGACAGGAAGAGAGGAGGAAGGAGGACACCAGGATAGGTTAGGATGGAGAAAGAAGCATGTGAGTTGGGAGGAAGGACTCCAATAATGGTATAGAAAGGCCCAGATGAAGAACACAAGCAAGTATCTTGGGATTATGGGTGGAAGGTAGCCCAGATAAGAATGGTTAAGGTGAAGGCATTTGATGGGGGCTGGGAGGTGGATGTTGAGGTTATTCAGATAATGTAGGTACAAATAAGGCAATTATACACGCTAACAGGTGTTGTGTCTTATTGTGATAGCGGGTTAAGTAATACTCCTGTGATAATTATAGGGCAAATAATAAACATTATTTAGCCCAACACCAATTTATTTACAACAACAAATGGGCAGAAATGGCTGCTGGAAGGTTGGGTGAAGCAGGACCGCATCCCAAAAAGAGGCCATAGGCCCACCTTAAAAACAGAAGCATGGCTTCACCCACAGCACGAGACGTGGTCGACAGAGGCTGCTAGCCTCGGGGGTGGAGCCGGATGGAGGCAGCCAGTGTCCAGCTCAGCGGCACACAGCCCTCGCTCGGGGCGCCCGCTCGGGTGGCAGGGGACAAATCTTCTCTTAGAAATACCATTACTCCTCAGGAAAGACCAAAGACAGGGTCCTTCCCCTCCCCCACAGAGGACTGTCCCCAGAAGGAGAAAGTTAATAGAAGGTTCTAGAAAGCACTGCCCTCAGTCACCTCAGGACAGAAGGCTCTAGAAATCACTGCCCTCTTTCACCTCAGGACAGACACTCAGGGAGGCCTGAAGACAAGGGCCTAACCTGGGACCCTTGTGAGGCCTGGGAACTGTGTCTACTCACAACTCAGGAAGACTTAGCTTCCCACTGACTGACAGCACTCCACACTTACAAAATAGACTTTGGGGCTAAAGATGTGGCTCAGTTTGTAGAGTGCTTGCCTAGCACACATCCTGGGTTCAACCCCCAACACTTTCTATGTGAGATGCTGCCCCAAAAAAAAAAAAAAAAAAAAGCGGCAAAAAGAAAATCGCCCCCCAAAGCAATAGCAGCACTGTGTGTGTGCTAGCACGTGCGAGCCCTAACCCAATCTCACCTTGTTCCTGTTCCTCCCAGGGTGAGAGGCGCAATCTCTGTCCATGTGCTCACCGACCACCACGTCTGCTATCTCACCTTTTTTCACAGGGATGGGGACATTACAGAGTGGACACACGGGCACCTGCACATCCTGAAATAAAGAGCATACAATGATGCCAAGACTCACCCTCAGCTCTCTCTTCCTCCTCCTCTCCCTTTCTCTCCCAGATACACGCACGCACAGAGCACCCCCCCCCCGTCTCAGACATGCACAGATGGTGAAATGTGTTTACAAGCAGAGAGCACAATGGCGAGGATAAGACATCGCAGGGTGACAGGACTGCACCTGCAACGGCAAAGCAGCCATGGTCGTCTGGTGGGACCTGAACACACCACCACCAGCTGTGGAGGGCCCTCAGAGAGAAAGGAAGCGGGTGAGATTGGGAAGGGAGCCACTGCCCCTCAGAGCCGAGCTGAACGGTGGACACACTGACAGGAGGGCCCGAGGAGGCGCTCTGTCCAGCTGTCTCTGATCCTCAGTGGCTGCAGAAGCAGGGAGGTGGCCTCAGCAGTGGAAAGGCTATGCCCCACTGCTGTGCCAGCCAGAGGCAGGGCTCTGCAGGGAATGAAGGAGCACCAGGAGGGGACAGTCAGTACAGTCAGAGCCATGGCCATTGCAGGAGGGGTCCGTGCCTGACACTGACACAGGGTGACTGACATGAGATGGAAACAGGACCACAGGCTTGTGTGTCCTGCTGTCTGAGGGGGCTGCCTCCATGGACTAACGTGCCCACCAAGAAACAAAGCATTCCTGTGTGATCTCTGGACAGACACGCCCCCAGGGGCACAAGGAAAGGTTCAGATGACACACAAACAGCGGCCACCCGGTCATCAGGCATGAGTCACCCACCCCACCCACCCCAATGACCTCGCCGGCCATGGCCAGCCCTCGGTAAGGCATGTGACACTAAGTCACTGTCCATATGGCACCTGGGGAAGTGACAGAGTTCACCATGAGTCACTTCTGGAACACAGGAAACCTGTGGACCTGGAGAACCTGGGGTTCTGACAGGCATCTCCTGGTGTCTGCTGGGCGGCGTGGAATCCCCCAGAAACACCTGCCACAGGGACCCATGCTGTTCCCCGGGGCAGGGAACGCACAAGCTGAGTGCCTGAAGGTGAAGGACCAGCTGTGAACGAGTGTGAGAGGCACACTGAGGGTGCGGCTTGAGGGCTGGGGATGGCCCATCCATTCCTCCTCCTCTCAGCTTTCTCTAGCTACTCACTCTTTTACTTTGGCCTGCTTTACACTTAACGAACCCACTTGCTCAGAACTTGAGCATGGCTATCCCAGGCCACCCTCCGGCCGGCACAGAACAACTGGACACAACAGCTGTGGCCCATGCAGTCTAGATCCCAGGACGATGCATTACCTTCGTGAATGCAAAGGGACACCTGTGACCCACATATGAAAAATGGTCTTTACAGAAATCTTTTTTACACGCGTCACAAGTTATTGGCAGAAAATCTAAAAAACAAAAATCAAGACAGAACAGTAAATCCTCTGAAGAAACGGAACCAAAGAAATACACAGCATTCAAAGCAGGAGCTTGTCTGCATTAGGCCTTCATGCCTATGAGACACACACATTCTAGAAGTAGAAAAGAAAAACTACTGAGACAGGGTCTTACCTAGTGCAGGCTGGCTGGGAGCTCACACGTGGCCAGGGAGGACGGTGAGTACCTAATCCTCCTGCCTGCACCTCTCCAGTGCTGGGACTGCAGGCACCAGCTGCCACACCAGCTTTGAGTGGTGCTGGGATGGAACCCAGAGCTTCATACACGCTGGGCAAGGGTTCTACCAACTGAGCCACAACCCCTGTCCCCACGTTAGGAATGCAGTAAGGCCCAGAGACACCGAAGGACCCACAAAGCGGTCTTTTCAACACAGATTGTGGTATCACAATCATCCAAGTTGCACACTTGTGTCTGCAAAGCCCTGGCGGCCAAGGCCTGGCCTTAGCTGGCTGCAAGCTTGCAGCGGTGAGCAGACCCTGTGTCCTGCACCAGAGGCCTCAGGCTGAGAAGCCAAAGCAGGACAGAGGCCAACTAGCTAACAAGTGTGTAGCCGACATTTGCTACTTTGTGGGTTCCCTACTCTCTTCTACCTTCTTGCCCTCCAACACTAGGTACAAGAGAAAGGAGGATAGAGAGAAAGGGGGGTATTGTCATCATTACACTACTTCCTGCTCATTAGGATGTGGAGTTCCTTGGGGCAAGTTTGATCTTTGAAGTCAGGGTATCTAATTTCTTGTTTCTTTGTGAATGACTACCTGACAAACAGCAACCAACAGCATCCAACCACCAACAGCCACGCCCATCTCAAGGCCCTCACATTTATATAGCCCCTGAAAAGTTCCCAGAACTCCAACCATCACACACTGGCAGAAACTATCTGCAGCTGGTGAAACCACCTCCCTGCTGGAGCACAAGGCAAATCACAGTCACCCACTCTGAAGCAGCTTCTTTTCCCCACACCTGAGATTAAAACCAAAGCTTAAGTCCCATAACATTTCTGTGTATTTTTTTTTAAAGAAAGCAAAATTAGAAAGTTCTCACTACATGAATGTAATAGCCAGATGTCCCTCATAAAACAGCCTATGAAATACTATTTCCCAGTAAGAACCCTTGAAAATTCTTACCTAGTTGCTTGCAAGTCGGTTCTGAGCAGTGCTTTCCCAAGTCAGGAAACTCCATTATGAACACCGTGTCCAAAACACAGGTATTTAAGTATCACCTGTGGAAATTAGAAGTGAAGAGAATGAGGCCCTCAGTTAATTACCAGGACCTGTAACCTGTGGCCAATGAGCACAGATTCCCTTGGTGGGGGCTGCGGGAAAGGCCAATGTATCAGTAAAGAGGAAAGTGAGGGTTTCATAAAACAAACAAACACCAGGTCTCAGACCAAGAACCAAACTCAGCATGACCAGGGGTAGCTGTCTAGTCCTTTCAGACCCTAGTTCGTGATGCCTGTCCTGCCACAGGGTTTCCAGGAAAGCCACATTTTAATGCATCCTGAGATTCCCAAGCCAGGCAAGGTGGTGCAGGCCCATCAGCCCAGCTGCTCTAAAAGCGGGGCTGGAGAGTCACACAAACTCTAGGCCAGCCTGGACAGCTTTGGGAGACTTTGTGTATCGGTGTCTTTCCTGTTGCTGTGATAAAATATACTGACGAGAAGCAACTTTGGGAAGCAAAAGTTTGTTTTAGCTCACAGTTCCAGGTTTTAGTCACTGTAGGGCCCCCAAGGTGGCGGGAACCTGAAAACAGTCACATCATATCCACAGTCAAGAACAGAGGGGAATAAACAGGGTGTGGCTGTGCAGACAGGCAGATCTTCGTGAGTTCAAAGCATGTCTGGATCTACAAAGGTAGTTCCAGGACAGCCAGAGCTGTTCCACAGAGAAACACTGTCTTGAGAAACCAAACAACAAAAACAACAAAGCAAACAAAAGGACAGACAGAAATGGATAAGCTTGCTTACCTGCTTGGACTCAGCTCCATTTCTCCACTCTTACACAGTTCAGGACCCCCTGCTACCCACAGCACACTGGGTCTTCCCAAACCAATTAGCTTGACAATCACCCCTATTTCCAGACAAGCCCACTGCCCAACCCAAGGTAACAATCCTTCATTGCGACTTTCTTCCCAAGTGATTCTAGGCTGTGTCAAGTTGACAAAGCTAACCAGGACACCCTGTTTAAAACGCAAAAACAGAACAGGAGGAAGAGGGCTAGGGAAGAAGTGCAGCGGACAAGCTTACCTTGCATGCATGAGCACTGAATTTCAATCTCTAGAATGCCCATTTAAAAAAAAAAAAAAGCCAGGCGTAGCTGGGTATGGTGACACATGCCCTCAATACCAGCACTTAGGAGGCAGAGGTGGGTGAATCTCTGGGAGTTCAAGGCTAGCCTGATCTACATAGCAAGTTTCAGGCCAGTCAGGGATATGGGTGAGAACCAAGCTCAAAAAGAAAAGAAAAATAAAAAAACGTAGTGGTTAGTGACTGGAATCCTAGCGTTGAGGAGTGGGGGACACGGTTCACTCATAGCTCATCTTATTCCAAAGAGAAAGGTGGGCGGCTCCTGAGGAGCAACCCTTGACGTTCTCAGCTTAATAACAGAATGCGAGGCCTAGCACGTGGGCAGGGGAAGCTCTGGATCCAATCCCCAGCTCTGGCACAACCAAGACAAATGTGGTGAAGGGCTTCCCACATGCAATTCATAGCTGCCACTGAAAGTTACAGTCTCCTTGGACTTCAAGCTACAATGTCACCTCCATACACTTGTTGACATCAACAGGCCTGTTTTCCCAGGTGCTGTTCGGCATTAGCTGACTAGGCTCCCCAGTGTAGTCTCTCCCTCGCCTCTCGTTCCCTCTGGCACCGAGTTTTACTTTGTGCTTGCTCCTTAGTGATATCAGGCCGGCCTGATCAGAGGAGGCACGAGCCATTAATTAACCACGAGAAACGGATAACCGGAGAGGCTGGCAACCCAGGCTTAAATCCAAGTCTCCTCCATGTCCTGACACTCATCAAATGGCTCAAAACTCTTGTGCTTTCCAGAGTTCAAGTCCCCAAAGACCTTTTTACATCTTCCTATCACTTCCCTTTCCTGCTGGGAACTTCTAAACTATTCCTTGCCTAGAACTGTCAGGTTTCAGTAAACATCTACTTGCCTTGTCAAGCATCAGCTTGCGGGGTTACTTCCTCAGAAATCATCACTACCACCTGCAGCCCTCCGCTCTTCCCTTCCTAGTGCATTTAGCTGTTAAAACGATCTCATTGCTGTTGGCTAGAAAACCTTTCGGCATCGTGCACAACAGAATCCACGTTATGAAATGTTTTTGTTCAAAGCGAACAGCACTTGATGTATTACCAAATGACCATCACTGTTTTTCTTTCTCTCTCTTTCTCTCTCTCTTAATGGGGGGAGGGGGCAGTGCCTATTATGTAGCCCTGGCTATCCTGTAACTCGCTTTGTAGACCATGCTGGGCCCTCAACTCAGAGATCTGCCTGCCTCTGCCTCCGCAGCGCTGGGATGAAAGGCGTGAGCCACCATGCCCTGCCTGTAGACTGTTTTTTGAGACAAGGTCTCATTACTAAGCTCAGGTTAGCCTGGAGCTTGCGATCTAATGGCTCAATTACCCAGAGCTGAGACTACAGGCCTGCTCCACCACGCCCTGCTTCCACAATCTTACTCTTGCCCCCAACCCTGGCTCAAGACAGTTGACCTGGGGATGTGAGATGTCACTGTGCTGAGACAGTAACTCCTAGCTGCACAGACCACGGGAAGTCACAGCCCGAGACGCCGGCCCCTGGTTCACTAGCGCCCCGGGGCCCCAGCAGCACCCGTGTCCCCGGATCGACACACCGGTACCTGGCATTCACGGGAAGCAGGAGGCGGAGACAGACAAGCGGTGTCCTTCGTGGTCAGCCCGGCGGCACCTCAGTAGGAACTGCGGCTCCAATCCCCGCGCGGCGCCCGACTTCTCGCCAGGCCGGAAAGCGCAGCATTGCACCTGCAGCCGCCTGGGCCATTTATAGGCCGCGGACAGATCCAGAGTCATGCATCCTGGGCGTTCCCGGCGCGCTCTGATGATGCCACGCCACCGCCAACCAATCCCGTAGCACCTCGTCTGGCTTGCCGGCGCCCCCAAAACATCACCGAAGGCCGGCCAATCCCTTCGGGCCATGACCCCGGGAGGGCCGCGCGCCGTGATGTCGTCACTCAGCATGCGACCAATCCGGTAGTTCGACGGGCCTGTGCCTGCCTGTCCTCCGCCTCTTTTCTGGAACAGTCAGGCAACATCTCTGGCCTCGGCTGAGTCATGGTGAGGCAGCTCTGGGCGAGGTGGCAGGCCTGTACTAGGGAGCCTAAGAGAGGACCGGGCCGGGGCGAGATTCCTGCGGCCTGGCAGTCTCTGCAAGCGTCCTCTGGGGGTTGGAGCTGCAGGCTGCCCAGACTTGGTGGCCCATCTGTGGAGCTGTAAGGATTCCAGGGCTGGGCGAGATAGAACACTGGTACCTGGCCGTCTGAACAAGCATGCCTCGGAAGTGAGGTCCAGTCCGGAGTTGGATTAAAGATGATACCTCAGATGTCTGGATCTCTGTTACCAGCGTGGCTGGAGCAACTTCCCTCTAGGCATGTGGATTAGGAGAAACGAATGTGACCCAAGTCCTTGAGTTCCAAAGGCCTATGGGCTGGGTACTACAGCTCTGCCCTAGCTATGTATGAATATACGCAATGGTCAGCGTCGAATCAGAACTTAGATGGCTGTAGCAGGGACAAGATGGAGGAACCTTGGCCCTGTTACAGTGTGTGTGTGTGTGTGTGTGTGTGTGTGTGTGTGTGTGTGTTTTATCATAACAATAGACACCCTATGACAAGCTCCAATGTTGAGAATAGAGATTTAATGGCACCAGGTGTTAAGGCCAGAGACTTACAGCCATAATTGAGGTTGGAGGTTTACTGTTCTGAGCTTTGATTGCCAGTGGGACAGGTAATGTAATCCTCAGCTCTAAGCAGCAGCCATAGGCAGCATTTTAGCTTTGTCCATGTGAAAAACAGCCCTCACCTGAAAACAAATGAGAGGATTTAAACCAAATAAGAGTGACTGTGGCAAGGAACATGGATTCTATTCATCTCATCTTGTTCTGATGTAGAAAAAAATTTACGGAGTATATAGTAACAGGACAACGAAAATGATAAATAAAGACACTTAAAGTGCCTTGGTGTTAACCTCAGGTAGATTACAGCAAGTGGGAGGCCTCTGTTACAGGCCTCGGGTGCTGTCTGCTGACATTCTTCGTATTTTGGGTTAGTGACAGCCAGGCCTGTACATTCCAGTAGGCTTTTCCTAAGAGTCACAAAGATGTTAGCTCATACATGCTGTGGTGGCCTAAGTGGCTAATTAAGGAGCTGAAGATAGCTAGGCCAACGTAATTTGGTCCTGGGACCTGTGACATTCCAACTCTCCCAAATCAGTGCTGATCTACTCAGCCTTGTAGAACGTGTAACGACTGTGTGGCACTTTCTAAAGTGTTGGGGCTTCCGTTAACACCAATACGGCTTATCCGGTTTACCCACAAGGCTGGGTTGTTTTGCTCTGCCCGCGATGAGTAGGCGAGGAGAAGTGTTTCTCGTGTTGGAGACCTGGGCCCTGGAGTGTCAAAGGCTTGCTTATAGGCTGTGCTGACAGACTTGGAGTCTTTCAGCTCCAAGCCAAGAATTGGGATCTATGGCTGCAGGCTGCATGGCCAGAGTAGTGGCTGCCAGTGCTAGCCCAGAGGCTGGAGTGGAGTTTCTAGGCTTTGCACCTAGCCGCTAGCCCAATCTTAGTGGGCCCTGGGTATTGGGACCCTCCCCTAGCAGCTGTCAGACCAAGGGTATCTTGCCAGCATGCTGGAGTTCTGCTGGCAATGGACCCGTATTTCTATTTTCTGACTCTGGGTAGTTTTCTGTTTCCTGTAATGGAAGTTTTTGTTTCTTTGTACACTCAGTTATGTTATGTAACTCTGTTTTTGTTTCAATCCCATGTGGGATTTTAGTTTTGTGCTTTAGTTTGTCCACAGCTATTATCTCATGTAGGGTGTGGCCTTTGCCATCTGGTAACAGCCTGCCATGTTCGGCACAGAGAGGGGCGTGGTCCAGGGTTCTGAGAGTATAAATTTGAGAGCCCAGAAAGAGAAGGTGGGGCATGAGGTGCTGGTGTATGGCATATAGCAGTTTGGAGAGACCAGAGATGGATGGTGTGCTGGATTGGAGCAGACAGATGGACAGAATGCTTCGGGGATGCAGCGGCTTGGAGGCGACTGCTGGCTGCGTCTGCTGTGGACTGACTGACCCAGAAAAGCGGGAGAAGGAAAGGGTTCTATATCCACTAACCTGTAAAGGGCTCTACGTCCCCTCTTCCCACTAACCTCTCTTCTATGTAGGGTGGGGAGGTTGGAAAAGAGGTGGAAGCCTAAAAACCCCAAAATAAAGGAGAGTTTTAAAAACTAGAGTTTTAAAAACCCTAACCCTAACCCTAACCCTAACCCTAACCCTAACCCTAACCCTAACCCTAACCTAACCCTAACCCTAACCCTAACCCTAACCTACCGTTTCCTTTCCTTCTTTCAGCCTTGGCGCTCCACTCTCTCATCTTCTCCACTCTCTGGTGCATCCCTTGTTCTGTGCCTCTTCCTAGCTCCTGGGCACTCGGAATCCTTTCCCCACACCATTTCTCATCACATCACCAGCTCAGTCCTCTCGAAAGTAGGCAAAGGGAGCTGGGGAGGTTGGCCACCAAAGTGTGAGCATCTGAATTTGGCCAGAACCCGTGTAAAAAGCTGGGAGTGGCTGTGCATGCCTGTTGTAAGTCCAGTGAGGGGGAAGCACCGACCTTGGGGGCTCGCTGGCCAGCCAGGCTACCTGTGTGTGCGCTCCAGAGGTGACCAGGAGAAGGTCGGTGTGGGAGGAACATGTGAGAAGGGGGCCCGAGGGTCAAGGAAGGAATACAGGTGTCCTCCTGGGGGAAGAAGTCCAATCAAGGGGTCCACAAAGCTCTCATACTCCACCAAATTCAGGAAGAGAAGCTGAAAATCCCTCCAGATCTTTGGAAGAAGGAGGTCTGTGTCCAGGACAGACTATGCCACACACAGATAGAGAACAACAAAATTATTGTTTCCTTTTAATGGTACTGGGTATGGGTCTCGGTATATTTCTGCTCCCATTCTGCACCAGGGTCTTCAGGTGAGCTCTGTCAGCTGCCACCCTTTCCTCTGAATCTTGGAACAGTAAAGAAGTTGCACTCAAGAACATCCCTGGTAGGCTTGGCTCTAGAGGCCTCACTCTGTCAACCAGTGACACCCTCTGCTTGCAGCTTCCACCTGTGACTTCAACTCAGTTCACTAACCACAGCCAGCTGTGGTCCTAACTGTGCCTGGTGGAGGAGATGATACCTGACGAACTAAATCTGACACAGCAAGGGCTGGAGAGGTAGCTCAGTTAGGAACATGCTCGCTGTTGCAAGCATGAAGACCTGAGTTCAAAGCCCTAGAACCCACATGAGGTCAGACATAGTGACAATGCTGAGTCGGTGATCTCAGCATTCCTATGCTGAGAGGAGAGGAGAAAGCGGGAATTCCTCAGAACTCATGAGGCCAGCTAATACAGCATCAATCAAAAGACTGTCTCTAGATTGAGAGCTGAGGTTGTCCTCTGACCTCTTCATGCATGTGTCTGCACTCACATCAAATGAACAACACACACACATACAATAAGACTCCAGGGATGTGTCTTAGTTGGTAGAGTGCTTTCATGAAGCCCTGGGTTCCATCCTGGGCACTGAATAAATGGGACATGATGGTACATGTCTATAATCCCGGTGTTCAGGTGGTGCAGGCAGGGGGACCTGGAGTTGAAGGTCATTCTCTGCTAACCAGGGGCTTCCGGTCTACAGGAGACTCACCAAAACAAGATCAGTCAGAGCAAAGGGTGCTGGGCTGGGGTGGAGGACAGGAGAAACGTTCGATGTATTCATCACACCGTCTGTCCTGTATCTGTCCTATGTGAATGATGTCAATCCTGGAAATAATTGGACCATAAGGCCCTGAGGATAGAGCCTGTGCCCTTGAACTCTGTTGCTTACAGATGAGGTGGCACCAGAGGTTTATTACAATAATGTATGGAAGAGGTTAAAAAAAAAACTGCATGGGTCTCAGGCAGTCTGATGGTGAAGATACATGTCTGTTGAGTTAGACAGAGCTTACTGTGTAGCCCAGGCAGGCCTAGAACTCACAGCGACCTTCCCAAGGATCAGTATACAGTTGTACATCAGCAAGCCAGTCACTAACCTTACCCTTTAAATTCTAGCTGCCAGGATGAAGCAGCTGACAGGGTATCAAAGATGGTTGGGAGCTCCATGCAGGTGCCTTTGCCTCTTGGGTTCTGTCTTTCAGCTTTTGCTCTGCACACCCCACCCAAACTCCAATACTAGACATTGAACCTAGGGCCACAAACATGCTCAGCCAGAGCTCAGTCAGCCTTAACCCTCACAGGAATTCTAGGGATTCAGCTTTACCTCTGAACTATGCCCCAGCCCCTCACTGGGGGATTCTAGGCAGGAGCTCTACCACTGAGCCACACCCCAGCCCCTCACTGGGAGATTCTAGGCAGGGGCTCTACCACTGAGCCATACCCCAGCCCCTCACTGGGAGATTCTAGGCAGGGGCTCTACCACTGAGCCACACCCCAGCCCCTCACTGGGGGATTCTAGGCAGGGGCTCTACCACTGAGCCACACCCCAGCCCCTCACTGGGGAATTCTAGGCAGGAGCTCTACCACTGAGCCACACCCCAGCCCCTCACTGGGGGATTCTAGGCAGGGGCTCTACCACTGAGACACACTCCTAGCTTTTTATTTTAATACTGTTTTATTTTCACTGTGCAGTCTGAATGACTGTAAAATGGTGGTCCTCTTGCCTCAGCCTGCTTTCTGAGTGCTAGACTGACTGACCATCACTCCTAGCTATTTCATGCCTCGAGTCTCCAGAAGTAATGGGTGCGTGTCCACTTGCAGCTGTTGACTGCCCGTCCAAAAATCGTGTGA